TCAACCAATGTCAATGTAATGAGAAGTTCATATTAATAATTTAATTTTGTACTTACACACTTATAAATAAATTATATATCTTAATGAAGGGATGTATACATACATATTTAAACAAATATACCATATATGTCCATATATTAGAATTATTTGCAGTTCGACGGAGTCCCTGCAAGAAAGACTCGTCTGTTGATACTGATCAAGAACATGTCCCCTTCTACGCGTTCCACAGTTCATGACAAAATTATAATACTCCCAACAAGGGTACAATAAAAACCCCACTTGATTGTTGGACGATTGTATCCCCTTCCTACATATATAACCCGTCAATTTTGAATTCACATAATGAATCACAAAGCCATTGAGTAATAAGAATATATAGTTAACATTTCGCTCAAAACGTCTTTCGATATTTTTTGATATTAAATATTTAATGTCACAATGCATTGCTTTTTTGCAAGGTTTATCGTAGCAGACAATTAAGCTTTCATATTAATACGGCTCCAACAATGCTGAAGAAAAGATTGCTGGACACAGCACAAAGCATGTCAACTTTCTGGGGTAACATGACTTGCCAGACCACCAACTAAAAAAAAATTATTTTTTTTTCAAATATTTAATAATTCATCGGATTATTTAGTGGTTAAGTAGGATTAGTTAAGAAACCCATGCTAAGAATTTCGCTGATTGTCCTAAACCAAATAATTCAAATAAAATAATAACTATTAAGCCACTGTGCCAGTAAGAGTAAAACGTATGCCATTAGAAATTTTAGTAGAGCGTAATCCACAATAGCAACAACCGTCGGAACACTGGGAGAGACTGCAATAAGTCCGCGAGTTTTTTTTAATAAAAATAAGCAACAAGTATGATACAACGAATGATACTCCGACCGCCTCAAATTAAATTGCTTAAACGCAAGTAATAAGTTGAATCATTTAACAAAACTTACGATTGCATACTGATTGATTTAGATTCAGTATACAAACTAGTAGTTGAACACCGGCTGTTTAACTAAAATCTAAAATATTGCGGAGCACACGAAAAACACGTCTTTTCGCTCGAGAGATGTGTTGTTGTTTATACACATAGTACATGTATTCATGGCCGCAAATCAAATACTAAATGGTCTGAGAGTTGGATCACAGTACGAACCGTTTTCGCGCTCTTTTGTTTTGGTGCGAGACGTAGATCGTGACATTTTTTCAATTTTAAATGAAAAAATTTATATATTTCGTATTTGTTAATCGAAATGAGATAATTTTATATTTAGCTCAATGTTTGTAACTAAAAAATGTTGCACTATATTTTAATTTCAAGAAATGCTCGTAGCAAAAAATTAGTTTTGGTTCTGTTGCAAAATATTAGTTTTGGTTCTGCTGTATTTTGGGCATTGCTGGAAAAACTAAAATTGTTCGGAACCGGTTCATGGTTTTCCATGTTCCCGGTTATTTATATGCATAGGTATACAGTCAATACAATTTGTATTTGGTGGAATTTGGAATTCGGTGCATGTAATATAATTTTTAAGATTTTTATGAGCGTCCACAATGTACACAGCCCCAAGGCCACAACGCATCAACTGATTGCTTGGTGAGTAATATTTGAATACATTTTGCTGTACTGTAAATGGGGCCACTCAATTAACGTGCCGTTATTGTCAATTCCCTAATTTAATTGAAATGCCGTTTATTCAAAGAACCGCATTGAATTCGGAGCAGCTTTTCGTTTTTGATCCCTTCGAAAATTGCACAGCTGTGAAACACGCGGAAGGAGACTAGTCGAGATTTGTTTGTTTGCCGAAGGTGATAAGACAAAGGGGATCATATTACGAAAATTAAACATTTGTAGAATATCGCACTTTACGAGTCGTCTGTGAAGTGTTGATTAGCTAATGAAGGTGAAGATAAAATAGATAGATGATATACAAAAACAGCTATCAAGTGAAATTGTACTTTTTATTTTTATACAAATATAATTTTTATAACTTCAACATAAAGCTGTTATGATAACAATGCCAACAGCATGCAGTAAATAAAGAACACAGCACACAAAAGCAACAGTCCAACACTCGCCACACCGAACCACAAGTGTCCGAAGCACAATGCAAATGCCATCAGGCAAAGTGAGGGAATAGATCCCAACGGACGCAGACTGATACGTGGGGGTAGTTGCTTCTCATAAATGTCCACGTTGCCATCACTCTTTTCGAACCATTTCTCAGTCATGGGCGCGTACAGCACTTGGCGTGAGAGCTTTCCGTAAAAGTCCTCCCGTTCGTAAAAAGCTTCTATTCGGCTGCCATACTGAATGGAGGTATTATGTAAATTAGTATCACATGCGACAGCAACAAAATTGTATATGAAACTCACTCTATCGTTGATGGCCTCTGAAATGAGGTGGAGCAGTCTAACTAGCGGCCTAATCTCATTTGACTTTATAGGCAGCAGTGCAGGATCGACTGTGGGCTGCATATTTGAGGCGTTCAGTGACATTTGATGCGGGGTCAGCTTTGAGGTGTCCAAACAATTATTTGAATCGAAAAAGCTGAAATTCTGCAACGAAGGTGACGCCGGTGGACTGGGCTCTACAGGTAGTGTTTCATGCATAGACAATGTGCCCGGGTCCACCTGTTGAAAAATAAAGCGTTGGTATTTAAACGAAACACTTCAATGGAAAAGGCTTACATTAAAAGTCCGACAGAATGCATCTATACAATGGCGCAGCACCTCTGGTATACGACTAAGATCGCGGAGCGTTAACTCGTCCTGCGTTTCCTCGCCTATGAACTTTTTGAATATATTTTTCAGATAGCCCTCCGAGCGTTGTCTTTCTAAAATCTCCTTCCGCAGCGCACTAATATTATTAGTTAGCATAGAATTGCGAGCCATGCTAATGACATACAAAAAGTTTTGAATTTTCGTGTGCATCTGCTCACTGAATAGCTTAGGTATATTGGAGCTGAGCAATGGGTTCCACTGCGCATTATAAGAGCTGTTGTGTGATTTGCTGAAAAAATTCAAAATCTATAACAATCATATTTTGAAACTAACAAAAACTTATTTCTTAGCCGAACATACTTTAACATATTGACCTGGCGCTGAGGTGAATCAAAGCCATAGGCATTACCCGAGTGCAGCCGTTCAAAACGCTGCAGACGTTCAACCAAATCCTGCTGCGCAAACGTCTTGGCCAGACGATGCAGCATGAATGCATTGCGATAAACTGAGTAGTCCAGACGCTCAAACCGCGGCAGTAGCTGCATGAAGATGTGCGTATATACAATGAGGTTGTCAATAATGAAGCCGTCAAATAGGTTCGTAATTGGTGGCTCATAATATATGCCCAAACTGCGACAAATAAATTAATAAATAAAAATAATAGCAATGAAAATAAGCTAAGAAATGGGATGCAACTTACGTTCTGTTGTTGGAGCCCAAAGTGTAGCGCCAGGGTTGTATATAGCTTAGCCAAAGTTCCAAAACAACACTCAGAGAGCTATCCAGTGGCCAGCGATCGATCAGACTGCAGAGGAAAGCGTAGATACGCGCCTTCACCATGGTAAGCGATAGCTTGCGCAGCGCACAGAGCGGACTGTGATCCATGCGTGCAGCATTCGCAAAGAAATGGATTTGCTTGACGAGCGTGCGTACTCCCCGCACGAAATCGCTGCTGGGCAGATGATGCTCGGATTCTATATCGTACCGCAGCCATATATCTACAAAGAAGTGCAACACGGATTCGGAACGCCAGGCGTACGCGCGACTAGCAGCACCATTGCCGTCCGCTGACTGTGGCGACGTGTTGCCACCGCCGGCAGCACCGCCGGTCTCGCCGTTTCCATTCCGGTATGAGCTTGGTAGTTTGAGGTAACGTAACTGACGCTGTGGCTGTAATGCCTGCGCAGGAAGCTGTTGCGGTGCTTTAACACTGGTGGAAAAATTTGACGGCTCGATACGTGCGTCCGGATACTGTGGCAAATAGTTGTCGAGGTACTCGGCCGCCAAGAATTGATAAATAGTCCTGGCGCGCTCGTTGTGTATCTGCATGGCGATGGGATTGATAGTGTGCAGTGGTTTTAGCGCGTACAGCACAAAGTGGAACATATAAAAGTCAAACGCGTTGAGGGACAACGTGCTCACTTGATGCTTTAGCGGATCAATGTTGATCAGATCTGAATAAAACATGGGTCCTGCTTGCAGCATGCTTATGAATTTACGCTATTGATTGTAAAAAAACGATATCTTAGCTATGGAGCCAGCAAACCCCTATGGTATCTGTCACTTACCGGTAATAAATTAATATCAATATCAAATTTAGTTGTCTCGTTCAAAAGCCGGTGACAAACGTGCATCCAAATGCCGTTAACACCAAGGAAGTGCTGCAGTCTGTTGAAATAATGCGATGCATTCTCCATAGTCGTGATCCGAAGTCCCCATCCCAGCGAATTCCCATTAATGCCGAATATGGAGTGCACTATGAGCGGGTAAATTTCCTCTATTTGCCGCACGGTGCAACGATCAAACAATAGTTCGAGTTGCGGCAGTTTATCCAGCAGAGGCAAGCTGAGCACTGTCAGTATGTGACTCTGGAAAACCATTCATCATTTTCAGTATTCAATCATCTTAGAAAGCACAAATACTTACATTTATGTTTTCTGGCGGCATCGGCTGAGACATGTTGTCGGTGCTATGGGTGACTCTCAAACTATGTTTGTATCAAAAAATAATAAGCGAATGGCAAAGCGTTGCCACCTTGAGTTTGTAATCGATTATGCGCGGGGTCGAAGGAAATACTGATATTTAAAGTGAAAATTAGAGCCATGGGAATACTTTATTTAAATAGCACAACTTCGTCTACATAACTTAAAATGTTCGCAGAATCACTGTCTCGATAAGGCACATTTGAAGATTATTTATTAAACAGGGCTGCATATTTAAGCGTGGGCTTAAATGTGTGCTATTTCCACGATTGCCGCATACGGTCACACTGTCCGTGACTGCAGCCGGCGTTTGTTTTGGTGTAACTTAGCTAAGTGTTAATTTCTGTTTTCCATTATTTTTAAATCTCAAAATGAAACGCCGCAGCCAAACAAAAGTGCAGGTGCCTACAGAAACAGGCAAGAAGCCCAAGGAAAAGGCCGGTACTCTTACTTTGGATCAGTTCAGCTCCGATGTTATTTGGCAGGTGGGTGGTTCGCTACACAAAACGTTTACGAACTCAATCTTTCTACAATTTTATTCCAGCTAGCATCAAGGTACTGGTTACCGGAATCTAAGTCCGAGCATTTGCCATATAATGCTGACATCATAGAAAGCATTTACACCGACGAAATAACGAGCGGAAAGGGTAGCGCACGCCGCATCAACATGCTGGAATTCAGCCAGTATTTGGAGCAGTATTTGTGGCCCAATTACAAGCGCGAGACGGCCACACATGCTCACCTGATGTCCATAGTGATCATGTCGAATGAGAAATTTCGGGAGCGCGTTGAGGTGTGGAATGTGTTCGAGCAGTTGCCTAAGCAGTATCCAGCATTTTTTCGCCACCTGCTGGAATCCTGTTTGCCGGATCAAGCAACAAAGCAAAATAGGAGCACACTGCGAGAACGGACAGCACTGCTTATATTTCTAAATCACTGCTTCAACAGCATGGAAGTTGAGCTGTGTCGCGATCAGGCAAAGCGCCTGGTCTCTCTCTCCATGTGGCACTGCCTGCAGCCGCGTAAGTGCAACAATTAATTTATTAAATATTGGCCCCGTCAAATGAACTGTCCTTTTTTTATGTAGGTCGCCGCGAGCAAGAACTGCGTGAGGTACCTGAATGGCGCAAATACTGGAAACGCCTGCAGAAAAAGGAAAAAGATACTGAGAAGCCCGATGTCACGTGGGAACGGCATTTTATGCAGAATCTTATCATTGATTTCCTGCACATACTGGAGCGTATTCCATCTGAAGGTGAACTCAATAGCAATGTGGTGCACTATTGCGAACGTTTTCTAGAGTTCATAATCGATTTGGAGGCGCTGCTGCCCACGCGCCGGTTTTTCAATACTGTCCTGGATGATTGCCACCTCATTGTGCGTGCACTAATGTGTCCGCTGGTGCAGCGCGAAGAGGGAAAACTGTTTGGGCAGGTATGTGTCAGACTTTGTTTAATTTGTTCTTCTATAAATTAGTTTTAAGTACAAATCTCAATGTTTAACATTGTTAATCTACAAAAACACTTAGCCTAGCTACGAGTAGATCTTACAATTAGTTGACAGACTAAGGCCCGTGCTCAATTATAACTTCGGGTTAGCTCCTTTAGAGCTCAGGTGGGCGGTCTCAATAATCATTACCATTCATATGGTGCATCTCGTCGCCCCAATCATTTGTCGATGGTGGCTCATTGTAACAGCAGGACTTCCTTAGTAGATAAGTCACATGGCGCTGCCGTAGCACGCATATGTATAGCAGCAGTGGAGCCTGGAATGCATTCACTATTATGTGCGCATAGAGTAGGCCGTCTAAAGCCAACCAAGACATGGTAAGAAACAGCCAGGCAAATGACATCACCAACAACATCAGCGAGAACATGATGAAGCTGTAAAGCAATATTAGAATTCAAAATTAATATGTAGAACATATAAATCTAGTCTACAATCCACCTACTTGGCCTTCAGCTTATGGGCAATGCGTCCGTAGACGGTGCGACGGTTGATCAGCTTCCGTGTGGTCACATAGAAGAATATGTTTACTATGATGGTGCACGCAATAGGTGAAAAGAATATGCATATGCCCAGCCAGCCAATCGTTTGCTGCTCGCCTCGCATATTCTCCTTCTTGTACGAGTCGGCGTCAAGAAAGAAGTGCGCGAAGACCGCCAGCACGGCCATTGTAGCTGTGCAGCCCCATGCATAGAACGAGTAGTAACAATATTTGCGTCCATCGGTTACGCGCAGAAACACATTCCTCGAACGAAACGTTTTCCATATGTAATAGCCGAAGCTATTCAACCAAAAGAATGCGGCTAGCAGGCTGAAACACAAAATGATGTCCGCCACAATGAAGCTCACGTGGTTGGTAAAATCCGTGAATATGCAGACCAGATCTGCTGCCTGGCTGACCATCAGGCACATTGCGATTGTCGTGACTATATTTCCGACCAGATCTCTGCTAAGGAACAATTATCGGAATGAATAACTATGACTATTTGACCATTTCGAATGCTAACTGCAGCAGTTCTCACCTTAGCGTAGGCAATATAAAATAGACGATGGCTATGATAAGTAATAGTACCAGAGATATGCCATGGAATATGGGATTAAGTATTTTGCGCAACAAAAAGTTTGAATCATTCCAATTGTTTTCCTTTCTGGCCAAACAAATGTGCGCAAAAAGGCTATGCTTGTGATCTGGGGAAATTGCCTGCAAGAAGAAAAATAATCATGAAAATAGATCTAGAAACAACATATTTATTATACACACCCTGTCCAGACAGTATTGACCTTGCTCATAGTCATAAAAGCGCGGTTTCTGCGCCTCTGCCAAATCCTCATCGTAGTCAGCTTTCACACCGCTCTGCTTGTCGGCCTCATCCTCGGTATTGGTATAGTGCCTCAATTTGCCATCGTCCAGCAGAACCAGCTTGTCGTAGCTCTGTAAGTGAAGGGCCTAGGTAATCACGATGCCGTTTGTTATACAATTTAGTTATACTTACGCCTGCATAGTCCAAAACAGGCCACATCTGTTTGGTGCCACAGTTGGGCACACCAATTACGAACTTAAAATTCGCGACTGGTCTGTTTTGATCGCCGCTGTAGCTGGTAAACATGGGCTGAAAATAGTCTATAAAGAGCATATATGTAAGAATACGGCAGATCACTTTAATTGGGAGAGAGGGCGCATCAATCGAACAATAGCAAGCTGCGAACAAAGCCAATCATAAAAACACTCCAAGTCTATAAATATTTACAATGCACGACCATAACGTGCCCGACGCTCTGAAGCATCACAGATCCAGATTCAAATGCAGATTCGCTACACAGCAAAGTAATCAGCAATTTACACTGAGACATCTTGCAGTTTCTTCGAATTGAGTTAACATCTTTAATATTCATTATGTTGATTATGTTGGTGGTTTGTTAAGCTGATGAATACTGATGAATATTCAGTGTCATTTACGTCACATTTATGATTCAACTAATTTTCCAATTTTAAACGTTGTAATCATATTCTTTAGCTTTTTTAACAAAATGATAATCATAATTGACATGTTGGAATTTGTAACATTCAGATTCTGAAGTATCTGTAAAGTTGTCTAGTGAAAGTAATTGATACTATAAATAAATAAACACATTTTTTAGATAATAGGATTTAGATTTCCATTATAAACAAACAATTGAAAATTCCACACAATTCAATAAATTCAAATTATTTCAAGATATGCTCAAATGTTAAGTTTTAAAAACCTTTACTTAATATAGTTTAAGAGCCGTCTGGAAACAATTGCATTCTAACCAATCAAATTAATATTGCTAAACTCTCGCCATATGAAACTGTAAGAAATTCCGAGTCTACCATAAGGCATTCACCCTTAAAAACTCAACGCCAAGTGGCTGTTTGTTTGAAATCCCCTCACCAAATCATATATCATCATGACTCTGTTTGTTTTTAAAACAATAAAGAGGAGTTTTGGGAAGCAGCGCCAGTTTCGGTGCTCCATTGATTGCTAGCAAATGGGCCCTCTAATGTGGGGCATATGTTGCATGCCAAGAGCCAAAATAGAAAATCCAATAAAGTTGAATGGCCAAGCCGGCAGTGGCCGAGTTGAACTAATTGTGACTGGCGTTGTCCGTGACAACGGTCATGTTTTGGTGTTGACGCAGATCTGTTCAGTCGCGGGGACAACTTACCAGTTTGGTTGACCTGCTGGCACGTATTGTTCACGTGTATCTCGAACTTCTCACAGCATTTGTTCACCAGCACAAGGTTGGGATCGTTGGCAGCCGGCACAACCGCCTGCATTGAGCTGTTGTTGGCCACATGAGCGGTAACAGACCGTAGTGTGGCCAGCAGGGCAAGCAAAAGGCAGCCTTTGGCCAGGTATCGCAAAATTTGCGCGCCAAGCGTAAATACGAGCATCTCGCACAAATACACTGCTACGGGTACACCTACAGATACAGATTCACCTTCAAATACAGATACACGTACTCGTACTCGCACTCGCACCCGTAATCGAATGCGTCATCAAAGCAGTGGCTGATGCCGGTTTCGAGCCAAGATCATGACTTGCAGCCAAAAAATAAAGCAACCAGACAAGAGACACTTTTTTCTTTTGTAAAGTTAAACTCAGATACAAACATACGGTTAAAGTTTCCAGATAGAAATACAACTAAAGATAGAGCGGAGCGTATTCGATCACTTCACATTATCCACCGAATATACACGATATACAATTTCTTATTTGCTAAACAATTTTTGTTTGCATTTTTATGCAGCTAGCGCACAAATTCCAAAAGACAACGAACCGCTGCGAACGACAACTGACTGAAAATGAGACTGACTGAGAATGCGAATGAGACTCGGTCTCTCTCTCGCTCTCGCTCTACCTCTGACGCTGACTCTGACTGCAGAAACGCGTCGGTTCGTTCTCTTAACTTCTAGTTACTAGCGGAAACAGAAACAGAGAGCCGCAGCAGTTGGCATTGGGCTGAGTGTAGAGTTTTCTTCTCTTGTCCATCGCCTCTGCCGCTCGCTACATTCAATAGCACCAACCACCAAGCGAGGCAAAGCGTTGAAGCAGGGCTTTGGAATCAGTCTTGCTCTCTCTCTCTCTCTCATACATACACACTTAAGCAGGGTTTTATTTTTTGTTTAAATTAAACAACGGAAATTATCAATTGGAGCAAAGCATGCGACTCAAAGAACCGGCAATTCCAACATTGCCTTCTTGTGTATGTGTGTGTGTGGTTCGTTGTTTGTTGTTTGTCTGGCCGTGTGATGATGTGATAAGGCACTGAAGCACTTCATCTATTGCGCTCGTATGTATTGCATCCCAGCAAAATGCAACTGCAGCAACCCCTCGCAACAATTAAAAACGCGTGCCTTGTCTTTCAATACGCCACACTTGTCAGCACTTGGGAGCAGGAGACGGCCAGTTGAACATCAATATCTTTGTATGTGCCCCGAAGAGAAGCCCTTCTCATATCACACCTACCACATACACACACTACTACAGCATATATTTTATTTTTAAATGAAATTTGTTTTGAATATAAAGATTTAATGATAAATAATATCGGTTTTTTTTTATTCCAATTTTAATATTCACTTCATAAATGAAAAAAAAAAAATACACTAGAGACCCTCTTTCATATCAAAATTAATGATTTTGTAAGAAAAAAGTTTCAAATTTCCAGTAATCTGATTGCCAGTCCTCCCGCCCGCTAAGGACTTCCGTCAACTATGGAGAAACCGCTTTTTGCTTACTTCTTGTTGCTCTTTTAATTAGCGCTCTCGCACTCTTCCAATGCAGAGTTAAGGTTGAAAGCTTGTGTAGACTTCTCGAGTAAATACAGTGCACACCGTGTTAACCAAAATGATGACGCAGCATACTCACAGACCGCTCGCAGCTTAGCCAGTTCTCGCTGTAGTTATGTTACCTGTTCTGCAGACCTAAAGAGAACATTGCTCAGTGCTCACTGTGTGTGTGCGTGCTCGTAGAGTTCTCAGCACAGGTAGTATAAAATATGTTCCATTCAATGGACTCGTGTGTAGGACAGCACAGGAGCGGTTCTATTTGACTTTGTGGGCCGGCGTAATAATGTTGACTTGAAAAGTCTCTATGTTTTGTGTATTTATTTTAATACCCTTCTAGAGTATTTTCTAATTTTTTTATGAACCCATAAAAGTATATTTATTCTATAATATTATATAGTTGCCATAGGAACAAGATATCTAGACCAAACTCGCCATATATTAACTTCAACATCGGGACTGAACATCGGGATTGAAATCGAAAATTAAGTTCTTTTGAGAAAAACTTTTTTGTTTATCATGTTATCTTGACCAAACCCGGCATTTACTATTGTAACTATGCTGCTTATATACGAAACAAGTCTTATCAAAATCGTATAACTACATTATATAGCTCAATAGGAGGAATCGAACGAAAAATGATTTTTCGTACTCCAAAATGTTCAGTTTTCCAAGATATTTTCATCAAATTCAGAATTTAATTAATAACTATTCTGACATATCTGCTAAACCCTAAGCAAATGTCAACAAGGGTATTAAGTCTTCGGCGTGCCGAAGATATCCCATTTTCTCGTTACTACAATATCAGTAACAGAAAATTCCCATAAGATATTTTATAAACTTCAGTTAATTAACATATGCATCTTTAACTGTTTGTTCTCATTCCGTCAGCTAGTCGGGATGACTTATGTTAAATCATATTTAATTGGAATATTAAGCAAACGATTTACTCCGTGTAATGACGACTAACACGAAAATTATTTTTTCTTTCTTGCTTATTGAATGTAGCTATTGGACATGCTCAAGTTTTACACCCGTTTCGAAATTAACGATGTGACAGGTAACTCACTGACCGATCATGACATGACCCAGCTGCATTATAAGAAGATCACCTCGCTGCAGCGTGCTGTATTCGCCAAGTTTTCAACGCTGCGCGTCTTTGCCTTGTCTAATGTGGCGACAGTGGACAGTCGCGATTCGCTAGAGAAACATTTCGGTGCTTTAGATTCTGAGGGACTAAAACAGATTGCTTCGTTTCTTAATCTTGTGCCTGATGAGGCGGTGGAGCCATTTCAATGGCATCGATTGGACGAGCCGTTTCTGCGCGAGTTGCTCATCACGCGTCATGAGAAGCGATGCTCGCAACTGGAGGCGCTCAACGAGATGCCACTGTATCCCACGGAGCAGATCATTTGGGATGAGAATGTGGTGCCATCGGAATATTACACAGGCGATACCTGTCTGGCCCTGCCCAAGCTAAATTTACAATTCCTCACGCTGCACGATTATCTGTTGCGCAACTTTAATCTGTTCCGGCTGGAATCCACGTATGAGATACGCCAGGACATCGAGGACGCGGTCAGTCGCATGCTACCCTGGCAGTCGGAAGACGGCGATGTGGTCTTTGGTGGCTGGGCACGCATGGCGTTACCCATTGCCAGTTTTGCTGTTGTCGAGGTGGCAAAACCGCATCTGGGCGAGAAGAAGCCTTCGCGAGTGCGCGCCGATGTGGGCGTGACGCTGTCAGTGCGTCGCGAGATCAAGGAGGAATGGGAGAATCTGCGTAAACACGACGTCTGCTTCCTAATCACAGTCAAACCAACGCAGCCCTATGGCACCAAGTACAATACAAGGGAGTCCTTTATACCCCAGGTGGGCCTGGTCAGTGTGCGCGGCTGCGAGGTGGAGGGGATGCTCGACGCTAATGGACGTGTCATAGAGGACGGGCCAGAACCGCGACCGAAGCTTCCGGGTGAGCAGCGCAGCTATCGCGTCTGGCTGGACTCAAATCAGTATCGCATGGACATGGACGACTTGCAGGAGGTAAGTTTGAAAATGCTGATTGCAAATAACCGTTTACTCATCGTTCTGTAATCATTACAGGGCGCCGACGATGTCTACGAGAGCTTCAACATTCTGATGCGCCGCAAGCCAAAGGAGAATAATTTTAAAGCCGTCCTAGAAACCATTCGTCATCTGATGAACACGGAGTGTGTGGTGCCACCCTGGCTGCATGATATATTGCTCGGCTACGGTGATCCGGCGGCGGCACACTACAGCAATATGCCCAACCAGGAACGCAGTCTCGAGTTCAACGACACTTTTCTGGACTACGAGCACCTACAAGTCAGCTTCCCCGATTATGAGCTCAAATGCGAAGCGGCGGTAGGGAGCAGAGAGCCGCCTTACCGCCTTATCTTTGAGGATGTGGCCGAACAGCGTGATTGCGACACGGAGGAGATGCAAACGGATCAGCCTGCCCCCACTAAATCAATTGTTGTGCAGCCCTATAAATACGAGGCGAGAGGGCCCTATATCAGCGACAAACCCAAACAGTGAGTACCAAAAGAAATCATTAAAATATCACAATTTTCTCATTCTCTTGTCGCCGTCCTTAGGAATTGCATACGCTTTACGCCCACACAGATCGAGGCAATACGTGCTGGTATGCAGCCGGGCCTTACTTTGGTCGTAGGTCCACCCGGCACGGGCAAAACTGATGTCGCCGTGCAAATTATCTCGAATATCTACCATAATCATCCCAATCAGCGTACGTTAATTGTAACGCATTCGAATCAGGCTCTGAATCAGCTGTTCGAGAAGATTATGGCGCTGGATATTGATGAGCGGCATCTGTTGCGTCTGGGTCATGGTGAGGAGGCGTTGGAAACTGAGAAGGACTACAGTCGCTATGGCCGCGTCAATTATGTGCTAGCAAAGCGCATGGACTTGCTTAGCCAAGTGCAGCGCCTGCAAGAGGCGTTGGGTGTGAGCGGGGACAACGCTTACACCTGCGAGACGGCGGGCTACTTCTATCTATACAATGTGATGGCGCGTTGGGAAAAGTTCCAAAGCCAGATGGATGCACACAACGCGGAAACGGATATGAACAAGCTGTGTACGGTGTTCGAGACTGAATTTCCATTTTCCAAATTTTTTTCCGATGCGCCACAACCGCTATTTAAAGCAAACAGCTTTGATGAACTTATGAGCACAGCACAGTCGAACTTTCGCTATATTTCCGAAATATTTACGGAGCTTGAGGAGTTCCGCGCCTTTGAGCTGTTACGTACAGGACTAGATCGCTCCAAGTATTTGTTGGTCAAGGAGGCCAAGATCATTGCCATGACTTGCACACACGCTGCGCTTAAACGCAAAGAACTTGTGAATCTGGGCTTTCGTTATGACAACATCTTGATGGAGGAATCAGCGCAAATCTTGGAGATTGAAACATTTATACCGCTGCTGCTGCAGAACCCACTGGACGGCTTGAATCGCTTAAAGCGCTGGATCATGATTGGGGATCATCATCAGCTACCGCCCGTCATCAAAAACATGGCCTTTCAGAAGTACTCAAACATGGAGCAGAGTTTGTTCACGCGTCTGGTGCGTCTAGGGGTGCCAACCGTTGATCTGGATGGGCAGGGACGTGCCCGTTCCAGCATATGTTCACTGTATAAGTGGCGATATAAAAAATTGGCAGATCTGCAGCACATCTTTGAGCGGGACGAGTATAAGAAGGCAAATTCAGGTTTAGTTTATGACTATCAGCTGATCAATGTGGAGGATTTCAAGGGCGTGGGCGAAAGCGAACCCAATCCGTACTTCTATCAGGTAAGTAGATCTCATATTTCACATTCCGTATCTGGCTAACATAAGTTTTCTCAATAAGAATCTTGCCGAGGCGGAGTATATTGTCGCTCTGTACATGTACATGCGTCTGATGGGCTATCCCGCTGCCAAGATATCCATACTGACCACCTACAATGGCCAAAAACATCTTATACGCGATGTTATTAACGCTCGCTGCGGCAATAATCCGCTTATTGGCTGGCCGCATAAAATCACCACCGTGGACAAGTACCAGGGCCAGCAGAATGATTACATCCTAATCTCCCTGGTACGCACAAAGGCTGTTGGTCATTTGCGCGATGTGCGCCGTTTGGTCGTGGCTATGAGTCGTGCACGTCTCGGGTTGTACATCTTTGGACGCGTCTCGTTGTTCAAGAACTGCTTGGAATTGCAGCAGACGTTCAAGTTGGTAAGTAAGACCTGCACAAAAGGCTCAACATCAAAATAAACTTTACTGATTTCTTGCAGCTCATGCAACGACCGTTGAAGCTACGCCTGGTGCCATCAGATGCATATCCGACCGAACGGCTGACCAGCGAGCCGGTTGTAGATAATATAAGTAAATCCGTGGAAAACATGTCCGAGATGGCGCAGTTTGTCTATGAGCTCTACATGACCAAAATAGACCAGCTTAAGGATAAGCTGCCTACTGAGGAAGAGTTGCGAGCTATGCGCAGGCAGTTGCCAAATGAAGATACGGATGAATTTGCTGAGGAGACAGCTGGGAATGCAACCGAGCTTAACGATGAGCCACCACAGAAGAAGGCAGCGAAAGAAAAAACAAAAAAGACTCCTGAAGCTTTTAAGCCCTCGCCCATACTTAATGAGATCAACGTGGATGAGCAAGAAATAGAGCGGCAGCAGGAACAGCAGGCCCCAGATGCTGAAACCCCGGCACAGAAGGAAACTGATGAAAGCACTAAGGTTGAAGAGTCGTAGCTGCTGCTCAGTAAATTTAATTCCAATAATTTTTAACAATTCATTAAAATCGATAAATACAAACAACGACATACGCACACAATGTGCAGCATCTATTTCTTCGGTGCCGTAATGCCCTCGAGCTGGGCCTTGAGCTGTGCATTGGTTTTCTTCAGGAAAGTTATCTCCTCTGTGAACTTCTTCTCATCGGAGGCACGCAGCTCGGCATTGCGACGTTCGGCCTGCTCCTGTTTCATTTTCATGTCGGAAATGATTTCCTCAAGTGCCTGCTTATCCGACTCCAAAGTCTTGACGCGATCCCGGAGCATTTCCTTCTCCTCGTGCGCCTGCAGAGCTTTACGCATGCCAAATGCCACAGAACTGCAGTAAAGAGTCTCGTAGGCCTCCATTGACATTGCGATCTCGTCACGAATGCGCAGCAGTAGCAAACCGCGCTCCGAGCAATTAATTGTCACCTGACGTATAATTTCATCTGTTTTTTAAATGCATTAGTTAACGTGTTTTATGAATTGGGTAGCTACAGCTCACCAAAGCACTGTGAGTAGAGCTCACGGCGAACGGGACAGATACCCGTCTCGCGAGCCTGCGTCTGCTGCAGGCGAGTGTCCAGCATCTCCTGCAAGTTGATAACATCTTGGCGGGTGGCTGGTGTGCTGGACACAGATTGCTGCCACAATTGACCATCCTCTTCCCAGCAACGTGGTGGCAATATAGAGTTCAGTATCTCTTCAGTCTCTTTTTTTGTATCTAATAGGGCACCAGCCGTTTGGGGACGCTTCATTTCCAGCTCCGTTAGCGGCGCGCCCTTTTTGTCCGGATGCTTGACAACGAGCACCGGGTTGTTGTAGCGGACTAGGGTCTGAAAGTGGCCTACACTAGCAATCTCCATGTCATCCATCTTGTTGATTTTGGCTCTATTCCGTTAATTTCAACTCTAAATAACTATAATCCAATCTGTAGAAACTATTTTTGTGTGTTGTTATTCCGACGTGTTCAACAATTTTTGTTGATTTAAAAAGCTGAAATGCCTTTATTGAGGGAAAGCCCGAAGAGGTTTGTGTTTGTCGTACTCCTAGCAACTGTGACAGCCGAGTAACGAGGAAAGCTTGTTTACCAGACAAACAAATATCAACAGGTGGTAGTAAGGACATCAATAAGGTAATGTATTGTAGTTAGAAATTCCTTTCACAACCAAAAGATATGTTACTCGTTTATTTGACCATTTATTATATTGTATGTATACTGTAAATGCAAAGAAATGAGCTATGACTCTAATGGATGCAATAGAGCAGTGAGCAACTGCACAAGAGTTTGTTGCACATATGTATTCTATATATTATATTTAACTAAACTTATTTATTATGTGTATGAGCAAGCGTGGCTAATTAAACTATAAACTTAGAGCTAACAGTTAAAGACCAAAAACTAACGTAATACGAAGTGGAAGAACAAATAATTTAGTCCTTTTCTAAGTGGTATAACTTAGTAATACAAAATGAGTGGGCGTTTAAACTAATATCGCGGCGTTATTCGAGTAAAGTAAACCAATAATTGCAACCATATCTAGTCGTATATGTGTAACGCTTACACATTAAGTTGGACATCATCAATATATTCATTATATATATTTAAATGTATGTATAGATTTATATATATATATATGTTTTCTTCATATATATTATTGTCATTATTTATGCGGGAGAAATTCCACTATGGGGTTTTGCTTTTTAGCAGTTTGCACAATTTAATACATTCATACTGTTACTTTTTATTTTGTTCTGTCGTGATTATTTGAGTTTTATATATTCGTTGGCATATAAGATACTACTACGCTATGTATATATGCTCTATATATATGCTTGTGTCTACATATATATGCACTTGTATAAATATTTTGTATTTACGCAACGGAAAACTCAAGAAATGCAAAAGATCAGATCAGTTGAACTAAGCCATATCAAGGGGTTCTCTATATAGTTAGCTACTTCATAATTTACAAGTTGGCAGATAACTACAGTTTTGACTGCTTAAATAAGCTCGGCTACGGCGTCGTCGCCATCTCGTATTGGTGCCTGGAATGTGGAGCCCGTGAACTCGTACATCTGCAAAAAGCATAAGGGATTAATTACCAAACATATAACACATGCGTCTGCTATGCGCCGACTTACAGAAGGTGCTCGATTGTTGCGGAGTGTTGCATAGTCTGCAAAATCGTTGACATGTGGATCGACGCGGGTTAGCAGCAGCCCAGCACCGCCGATGCCGCCGGCACTGGCCGCACCACCGCTGCGCATGGAGATGGAACCAACACCACCATTGCTGCCAGAGCCGGCTGTCAGGCGATTCTGATTGTTACGTGGCTGTATGGTGGCATAGGTATTGTCCACCGACTGGCCATGATGCACCTGCTCCAGCGAGCTGCGGTGATCCAAATGCCCGGGCGCATCCGAATTGGATATGTGATCGGGCTCCGAAAAGACCTGCATGGTGAGCTCCTGTTCCTCATACAGCTTAAGTTTTCTGCAAAGCGATATAATCTCGTTAAATGTAGAAAATTTGGTTGGGTCTAAGGCAGGCATACTGTTCAATCCACAGCGGATTCTCGGTCGTATTCAAATCCTCAATGATTTGCTTTTTGATCAAAGCCTCCTTGCGACGCGTCTCTACGGGCACAGAGAGATTCCAATGCTTTAGACAACAGCAGAGCACAATAAAACTAATGACGCCCACAAAGAGCACTATGACCAGAGCAACCAGACCAGCAACAGCCAAATCAAACTCATCCTGCACAATGGCTATATAGGCGGGCACAACGTTCTCAATGGCAAAGCCAGCATAGTAATCCTGGCAAGAAAGAAACATGCACGGTATTAATGTAAAGGTTGTGGACAATTCAGCTGGTGTTACCTTGAGATAATCATAGTTTCTGTCAATATCCTTAAGTATTTCATCGACAGGGGCAATTTGCTGTGTCTGCGGATCCACGGCATGGAAATACATATCACACCAATCCATGCGAATGCGTCCAATTGAGTCCAAGTGAAAACGTATCTCGTCCACAATAATGCGATGCTGTGTTGCATTTCGTAGCTCGGCTATAATTTCTTCCTGCTCCTGATAGACCTCCTCGGGCGGGCGCGATAGAATCACCCTAACCAGCTGTGTGCCATCAAATACCCAAATCTGAAAAGCATATATCCTTAGGTTTAATCTTTAGTTGTTAAATATCTCAACCAACATACATTAACTTTGGTATTGGCTGAACGCTGTGGCTGCTCCAGTTCACGTGCGACAATCTCCAGCTCAAAACGATCCTGATTATACTCCGCCATTATGGTATTAGCCGTGATGCGACCATCCTGCGATATGGCAAACGGACTGGGCACAATGGAGCCAGTTGATTTGGTGGCACCGAACTTGTACAGATTGGAGGCAACAATCATATACTCGATCTTCGCATTTTTACCCTGATCCGCATCGCTGGCATTGACCAGCGTGATGGCCGCATTCATCTTGGCATTGGCATTGACGCCCGCATAGTAAACGGATTTCTCGAACACCGGCGAATTATCATTCACATCCAGAACGGTGATGCCCACCTTGGCCACAGTATTGTCCCGGTTCAATGTCTTGATGGAAAACGAGGCGCGCTCCTCTTCGGATATATGCAAATCCGCTTTGATGCTGGCCAAAATGTACAGGGTATAGGCATCAGTCTGCTCGCGATCCAGGCTCTTGTTCGTGTAAATATCCCCAGTCAGTTTGTCCACATAGAATGCGCCATCCTCATTGCCCAGCAACATATAGTAGAAGATATCACGATTGTGTTTGCTGCGCGAGGCGGCTTGAATGTGTCCAATCTTGACATCACGACCGCTGTTCTCATTAATCGAGACTTTGTAGGGATTGGAGGCGTCTGGGAACTCGGGGCGATTCTCATTTGCATCAACAATGCTGACGGTCAGCAGACGCAGCGACTCAAATGGCGGATTACCGGCATCACGTGCCACCAAAATAATATCATAGCTGCAAAAACAAATGGAGTTAACCACATAAAGGTTCTCCGACTTGGGAACTATCTTATTTCGATTGTATAACTTACTTGGCGCGATTCTTGCGATTGAGCTGCTGCCTGGCACGCAGCTCTCCACTGGCCTCATCGATCTTGAATTCCGTTGTCTGCTGCACATTTTGATTGTTCACCTGCAGATGGTAACTGATCTTGCCACTTCCATCGGTGTCGTTGTCCAACGCCTTGACTGTCAACAGCAAATAGTCCGGTTGCACAATGTCGCCAGGTATTTCAATTGTGGCATTCGACAGAGCAGGAATAACAAACTCTGGACGATGCCGATTCACGCGCAACACCGTAATGATTGCTCTTGCGGTGCTCTCCATGGTGCCCGATCCCTGGGTATCACGGGCAGAGATCAGCAACTCGTAGACACCATGTTTACCGGTCAAACTTTGGGCCGGATAAATGATGCCCGATTGTGCGTCCAGCTTAAACAGTGTGGGCTCATTGCCCGCCGTTATAATGTAGCGCACATCCCCGTATAGACCCTCATCCAGATCTATAGCCTGTACCTGCATCAATGCAGCCGGTGGCTGATACGCTGCATTTTCCGACACCGTCGAATTGTACACGGTGCGGGTGAAAACTGGTGCATTATCATTGACATCCAAAATGCTTATGTGTATCTGGGAAAAGAAAAGGCAATATGAGATGCTGTTTGTATATCTGTATCTATATTTCTATATATCTTTATATCGATATATCTATATAAATCTATATATCCATATCTATATCTATATCTATATCTATATCTATATCTATATCTATATCTATATCTATATCTATATCTATATCTATATCTATATCTATATCTATATCTATATCTATATCTATATCTATATCTATATCTATATCTATATCTATATCTATATCTATATCTATATCTATATCTATATCTATATCTATATCTATATCTATATCTATATCTATATCTATATCTATATCTATATCTATATCTATATCTATATCTATATCTATATCTATATCTATATCT